CCAGTAGGCGCTCTGTGACGTCGGGAGACTCACTCCCAGGGCTTTCCCAGGACCGCCCGACTGCCTCCCAGGAAGAGGAAGGGGCGGGCTGGGCGCTGTGATTCGTCACCACACGCATCTCCTGTCACCTCTATCAGCACCCAGCTGTGACTGTGCAGCTTACCGAAGGGAAGGCCACCACGTCACCAATCCAAGGTCATGCTGCTGGTCACTAGGCCACCTGGACTCTAACCAAGCACCTGCCTTCTAAGTAGGCCGACCCCGTGTCTGCTGGGCATGAGGACTTGGGGTGCATGAGCACCGCGGACTCTTTCTTTTTTTTTCCCTTTTTTGAGATAGGGTCTCACTATGCAGTTCAGGCTGGCCTTGAGCTCACTTTGTAGCCCAGGCTGGCCTTGAACTCCCAACTATCCTCCTGCCTCAGCCTCCCAAGTGCTGGGATTGCAGGCGTGCGCCACCACGCCTGGCTCGCCCTGGATTGTCAGTGCTGCCCATCTCTGTGCTGTCCTCCTGCTGGGCTGAGGCAGGGCCGACAGTTCCTTCTGTCCTGGCTCTGCTCTTCCCGGGGGAAAGGCAGGAGATGCCCCTTCCCTCCTGGGCGCCCCTCACCAGCTGGTCCAGGATGAACCCCCCACCCCAGTGTAAATGGAAGGGAGGGTGGAGTCCCTGAGACAGAGAGGTTCCTGGGTCTGCCCTCAGCCCCACCCCAGTCCCCAAGGCTGCCCGCTCTCAGCCACTTCCACTGCTCTGGGCCGGTCTCCCCGCCCATGGCTCTGGCTGCCTCTGGCCTCCTCCCAGGCCAGCCGCCCCTTTGTCTGTCCCTGTGTCCCAAGGACAGGGCCGGTGGCGGGGATGCTGAGTATTGGGGCAGGGGCTTTCCCAGATGCAAGCGGCCCCCTGCGCAGGCGTGGACAAGGATGGGCTGGATCTGGCCGGGGCCCACACGCTCCTCACCCCAGGGCCCCCTGAACACTGGGGCATTGTTCTAGGTCACGGCAGAGGGTGGCTCTGTGGCTCTGGGGCTCAAGAACAAAAACAGCTCCGCAGGGCTCTGCCCCGCCCTTGCAATGTCAAGAATTAATCAGCGTCCTGGCGCTTCACTCAGAAGGAATGCGCTGAGCGGGGCAGGAGGGCCGGGTGGACCCCCGGTGTGCCCGCAGACAGGGAACAAAAGGCGCTCGCGGGCCGCCACTCCCCCGTTTGAGTGAGCGCAGAAGCCAGCGATCGCGAAGAGGCGGGAAGTCCAGCCTTACCAAAGCGGTGCTTGGAGGGCTGGCAGGGGCGTGTGTGGAGGGGTGTGCAGAGCCTCACGTGGCATCCTCAGCTGCCCTCCGAGCCGTGGGTGGTGCGGCCCATGGGCCCGGTTCAGGCGCTGTCTGTGTGCTGAGGTGCCACCTCACACGGCCCTGCGGGCAGGGACTGTTACACCCTACAGACAAGGACCCTGCTGACAGTGTCTGTCTCTCCTCAAATGCACGAACTCCTGATGCCCAGCGTGAGGGCACAGGGGGTGGGTTCTGGAGGGGATCAGCTCTGAGGGTGGGACACCATGGGGGGTGCTATAAAGGAGACCCCAGAGCGCCTATTTCCCCTTTGCCAGGGGAAGGTGCAGCGCAGACGCCCATCTGTGACGCAGGGGCCCGGGCACACTGTGAGTCTGCCAGGGGCTCGATCTAGGACTCCTGGCCCCCAGACTGCAAGAAAAAAATTTCTGTGGCTGTTAGGATATCTGGTCCCTGGTATTTAAGACGGCAGCTCAGATGGACTACGACAGCCATCCGAAAAAGGAGAACAGACCACCAGGGGAGGGAGGCCAGTCCCCCACCCGCCCTGCTGGGGGTGCTCTGCTGAGGAGGCTGCAAAACCACAGGGGACTCGAGTGTGAGACCAGAGGGGCCCGGGCCACGGCCCAAGCGCTGGCCTGGAGCCTGCCTGCCTGCTCCTCGCCAGCTCGGTGACTTCAGGCAGGCACCTCGTCTCGCTGAGCCCTGCCCTCCACGGTAAAACCACGTCACAGCCACACTTAGCAGGTGAGAAATAGCGAAGACTGAGCGACACGCTCACTCGTTCAGCAGACAGCACCCGAGGACCTGCTCTGGGCCGGGCACTTCCCTGAGAGCTGGGGACACGGCTGTGGGCAGAGCAGGTCCACATCCTACTCCTCTGGAGCCGGCTGCCTTCCAGTGGGACGGAGCACACCTGCAGCAAGTGTCATCTGCTCAGGCAGCTAGGACAACACCTTTCACTGCTTCCAGCAGATGGCGCTCTCCAGCTGTGTCCTCACGCGGAAGGAGGGCTGGGGTCTCACCCACGCCTCTTGTTTATTTGTGGTACTTGGGATCGAATCCGGGGGTGCTCCAAAATTGAGCTACATCTCCAGCCCTTTTTACCTTTTATTTAAAGACAGCCTCACCAAGTTGGCCAGGCAGGGCTGGAACCTGCAGTTATCCTGCCTCAGCCTCCCAAGTAGCTGGTTGACACTTTTTTTTTATAAGGGCACTAATCCTTTATAAGGGCATTTATGAGGATAAAGCCCTCGTTACTCAATCATGTCCCCAAGGCCCACTTCTGAATACCACTGCATCGGTATCAGACTCCAGAATACCAGTTTAGGAGGGACACCCCGTTCTAATCATCCGAGTCAGTAAGCAGACCGGAAGTGAGGGAGTGTACGCTGTGCAAAGAGCGAGCAAGCCAGGAGCAAGTGCGAGGCGATGTGCTGCAGGAAGCCTCAGCCACCCTCAGAGGAGCCACTGGGCGATGTCTGGAAGGAGATGCGGGGCCAGGCGAGGGCTCCCTCGGGGCGTGGTGCGCCCGTCCCGGGAAGAGACGGCACAAAGGCCCAGCACTGATACCTGGCTAGCGGGTTTGGTTCGAGGGCAGGGGCGGGCTCAGAGGACGGGCAGGCCCCGAGCTCAGGGCCTGGAGCGACCTGATCTGATCACAGTGAGGCGCCGAGAACCCGGGAGACAGACGGAAGCTGTGGTGGGGGCGGGGTACGGACGCACGGTGGGGGAAGGGCCCGTAGGGCCTGCTGCGGGGTCGGGTGGAAGGTGAGAAGCGAAGGACCCGCGCTACCAAAAGCTGGGGCTGGCGGCGGTGCCAGGGGCCCGAGGAGAGCAGCACCGCTGTGCACACCCGGCAGCGATGTGTGGGCTCAGCGTTCCTGTCACAGGAGGCAGGGGGGCCCTGAGCAACCTTTCTGGGGGGCCACCCTGCGCCACGCCCAGCCAGGTGCCTGGGAGGAGCGCCCTTTCTGTGCAGGGCCAGCCCTCTCCAGGAGCCTCCACTAGCGGGGCAGATGGGCTGGCTTTCCAGCTAGGGGTCAAGTGGAGGCTGCTGCCCACTTCCTCCCTCCCAATCTGGGCGGTCAGGGACCCTGTCTTCCCTGCAGGAGGGAAAAGGAACAGGGCCTCCTGCCCCATGCCCTGTGAATTCTCCAGGGGCCCGGCACAGCCCACTTGAAAGAGGCTGGGGGTTATCTACAAAATTTCAATTAAGTCCAGAGGCTTTGATAACTTGATAAACCACTCCACAGCCGCCCAGAGTCAAAATATGCTGTTACCTGATCCGTGTTTATGTTTCAGGACGGAGGGAGGGGTAGGCACGGTGGCCAGGAGAGTGCGCACAGCCCTGAGATGGCGGGTGTTACCGATTGTGTCTAAAATGTTCCCCAAAGCCTCATGCGGTCATAGGTGGGGCTTCTTCAGAGGCGGCTGGATCTAGGGTGTGTGGCGCTGGGATTGATTCATGGTGCGATGCTAGGATCGAGGGCACTAGGATTGAGGGTGTGAGTGCTGTCCGCTCTAAGCAGCCTGGATGAGATACAAGGGGTAGAAAGAGCGGTGTTCCTCTCTTGCTTGTTTTGCTACCTACCTCCTGCCTGCCATGAACTGTTTCTCCTTGGTGATGCCTCTCTGCCATGCCACCCTGCCTTGCAGCCAGCCGATTATGGACTGAAACCTCTACACACCGTGAGCTAAATAAACCTTTCCCCTTTAACTTAAAGTGTCAGGTATTTTGTCTCAGCAGCGAGAAAAGTAATACAGCAGGGCAGGTGGCTGATATACAGGCACCCTGGGGGTCCAGGTCACAGACAGGGCCTGGCTATCTCCCAGGGAGCAAGTACACTCTAAATTGGAGCCCAGTCCCTGTCAGCAGGTCCTGGGACAGTGGAGACAGTGCCAGGGCCAGGCAAAGAGGAGCCCTCCTGAAACGGCCTACCCCACTTGCTGGGCCTCTGTTCTGCCTTGGGGCCGGAGGGGTTCCTTTCCTCAGGCCCACTGCTTGACAAACCAGTGGTGGACTGGCCCAGGCGTCCAGTACCCACCCCGAAAGAGGCAGCGAACCTCTGTTGCCATGGTGACGGGGGACCAGCCGCTTTCCAAACCATCCCCGCGAGGGCCAGGCTGTGCTCCGTGGGACTGCGCTAGTCCCTTCTGCCCCCAGGCTTCCCCAGGCAAGTGCTGACTGTGTGCCGCCAGAGATGACGGGGTCATCTCAGGGAGCCCTCGTGCCTCCCCACGTGTGAAGCATTACCTCACTTCAGAGCTGGGAAAACGGAGGTGCAGAGCGGTTGAGGAAATGGTCAAAGAGCACAGAACCTTGCCAAGCATGATTGCACACGCCTGTCATCCCCGCACGGGGAGGCTGAGGCAAGAGGAACACAAATTTGAGGCCAAATTGGGCTATATACAAGTTCAAGGTCAGCCTGGACTACACAGCAAGACCCTGCTTAAACGAGCAGCCATGCTCCACTGTCACAGAAACATACGAAACCGTGGGGCTGCCGTGTGGTTCCCCCATTGCACCGCGGGCGCGGGCGACCGGCCCGTTCACGCAGCTGGTGCAGAGGGCAGCGACCGGTCACAGGGACCACCGCAGAGTCAGCTCCTTTTGCGGCCATACACCTGCTACTTCATCTGCACCCCTTCCCCGGCTGGCCTGCACTCGGGCCCACACCTTCCAAGCACACAGGACCGGCCCGAGCCGCGACTCACTCTTTTGGCGGGTTGACATCCTCAGGGCGGGCCTCAAAGAACCGGAAGACTTCATCGCACTGTGAAATGTGGGGGGGCAGTCGGATGAGTGCCTGAGGAAAGACAGGAAGAAAAGGCGTTAGGGTGACAAAACTGGGGTCAGGAAAACCAAGTCGACCCGGGCTGGCGTGGTGGGCGGTTCAAGGACTGTGCCATGGAGGACAGTCAGGCCACCATCCACCCACCCAAGCACAACTAGTCCGGGAGTTAGCCAGCTCACTGACGAATCAGTTATCCACCATCCACCCACCCACAGTCTCAACTAAAAAACAAATAATCAACCACCCGATTAATCAATAAACCAACAAACCGTTAAAAAAGATCAATTAGCCCACCGATCAGCCACCCAGCCAATAATCCAACCAACCCTTCTGTCAGCATATCAGCAAACTGAACAGCCCACTAGAAAAATCAATGGTCAGTGAACAAACCCTGGGTCTCAGGGCCCTCAGGCCTGGGGCTGGTCATTCTATATGAGCCTGTGGGAATCCCTCCCATCCCCAGGGTAAGTCCATTAAGATCCCTAACCTAACCGTGTGAGGCCTCCTCCTCCCGGCCTCCCATTAGCGGCCCTCCAGCTGCCCCAGAGTCACAGTCCCAAGATCCTGGTCATAGGACTGATTATGTAATGACAGACGGATCACTGCTACGGAGAAGTGCAGGGTGCTACGACAGGTCTGTTGACCCGGCTAAGACCCATGCAGATGGGGGTGGATGTTTCAGGAAAGAATCTCTGAAGCTGCGCTCTGAAGGCTGGGTAAGACCTGGGGGGTGGGGCTGGGTGAAGGTTGCTGGGGGCCAAGTGCACAGCGAAGGGAGGCGGGCAGGGGCCAGATCTAGAGTGCCTCCCCGGGGCCCTCGGAGGAGGGTGCAGAGCTCCAAGGGCACAGCAGAGCGGGCACAAGCTCGCCAGTGGGTGTGCAGCTTTGGGCAAGCAGAGAGGACAGCAGGGGCGTCCTCTGGGGAGTCACTGGCAGATAAGCCTGTCCTGCAGGGAGGGAGGCTGTGCTGGAGGACAGGGCACAGCAAGATGACTGCCACTCCACGCCGCCTGGCAGTAGGCACATGGGAGCGCTGGCCTGGCCACTCCCAGAGGAGGGGCTGGAGGTGAGGGTGAAGCTGCGCTGGCCCCGCTTGCTGGATCCTCCCTTCCTTCAGGACAGCAGAGAATGCTGGGACAGGAGGGACCACAGCCCGAGCAGGGCAGAGGGGCAGGGACAAGGGAGCCCAGGCTGGAGCCAGGACAGGACAGTGAGCTGGGACAGCGAGCGTAGCTGTAAGACCGGCTCCTGTCACCTGCTACGCCAGGATGGGCTTCAGAGGCAACGCCCAACACAGCAGCGCCTGCGGTCCTCCCAGTGGGCCACACTGCAGGTGAGGAAACCTAGGCCGCCACAGGGCGAGGAAGGAGGACAGAAGCGTAAGCTTCACGCCAGCACGGACTTTGGTCTGTCCTGTGGATTGTGCCCCAGATCACAGCAGAGTGCCTGAGCCTAAGCAGGCACTCAGTACTGTTTAATAAATGAATGAGCCAGGTGTGGTGGTGCCTGCCAATAACCCCAGCACTCTAGAGGCTGAGGCAGGAGGATGGCAAGTTCGAGTGCGGTGTGGGCCATTTAGCAACTCAGCGAGACCCTGACTCAAAAAATAAAAAAGGGGTGGGGATGTAGCTCAGTGTAAACCCCTAGCCCTGGAAAAAAATGAATGAAAGAATGAAAAACAGATAAATGAACAGGTGAACAGGGCTTTGGTGCCTAGAAGCCTAACATCTAAGCGGGACATTAAAATGAGGCAACTAAATAAATAAATAAGTGCACGCGGTCCTAGGGCACTGCTAGAATTGAAGCACTGGGGAAGGGGGAGGCCCTGGTATAATTCTCCCCTGGGCTGGTTCGGCATCAGCACCAGGCTTCCTACAGGAGGCCCTTCCGGATGCCAAACCGACACCTACGTGAGACAAGACAAGAAGAGACAGCCCAGGCCTCTGCAGATGAAAGAGCGTCTGCAGCTCCCAGCTCCTCTGACGGCCCGCGGAGCCTGGGAGTCCCAGACACGACACATCACATCCTGTCAGCAGCCAGAAACGGGACGGGAAATGGACGCGAGCAGCGAGCGCATGCCAGGCACCGTCCTGGGCTCCAGTCATCCGCCAGTAGCGAGAGCGGCGCGGATGTGTGGCAGGGGACCGCGCCTGGCCGTTACGAGGTGAGGAGGACGCAGCTCTGCCCTGGGGTCTCTGCAGTTTGTCCTGGAGACAGGTGTCGCCGCCTTCACCTACGACGAGGACGCGAAAGCAGGCGTGGGGGTGTGGAACCCGAAGTAAGTGAGTAAGTGACGGAATCCAGGCCCCGTCTCAGCACGTAGGAGGGGGGCTTGCCCTGGAAGGGGTCAGGGTTTCACTGAGCTCATCTTTTCTCCCCAGGAAGGGGAGAACGGGAGGAAGAGCTGAGGGAGACAGGCAGCCTGCAGAAAGGCAGGAGGACAGGGAGCGGGTGGACAAGAGAGGCACGGCAGGCACGGGCTGGGGGAGGCGGGTGGCACCAGGAGGCGTCCCGAGGGCACGGGGGCAGCCGGGCACCCGTCCCCACTGTCTGCCAGGGTGGCCTCTCCGGAGGCAGGAGGCGGCGACAGGGCAGGAGCGAGCAGCTCCACCAGCCTGGCGGGCCGCGGCCCTTTCCGCTGGCCCGCCTCCCCCCGACACTGCCCGGGGCCCTGGCTCATCGCAGCGCGGGGAACAGAGGGCTCTTCATGCCGACAGAGCAGCGTGGGGCAGGGGGTGCGTGGGCTGAGAGCGCCTCAGACAAAGAGGGCTTTCGGGGGACTGGCCGTGGCATCTTCAGCGAACAGGGGGCCCACAGGCGGCAATCTGGAGGGCTCGGCCCGACTTCAGGAGCACAAGAGGCTCTCAGCCCGGAGCAGCTGTCCTCGGAGCTGCCGCCAAAGGCCACTTACGGCCCAAACAGCAGGCAGGAGAGGCTGGTGCCGAGCGGCCTGTCCCTGGGGCTGCGCCAGCCACGACAGCCAGAGGGAACCCTCAAACCCAGCTGTTCTGGGCGAGCAAGGTGGGGGTCGGGCTGTGGTGCCTCCAGGGGAGCACCGCTGGCTCAGGGCTAAGGCTCACCGCGTGCGTCAGGGGCCGGGTTAGGCCAGGCAGACTCAGGCTCGAGTCTGGGCTGCACGGTGCAGATGCATTGCCTGCCTGCTCAGCTCTGTACGACGGCTTCAGTACGGCACCTTCCGCCTTTCAGGGTGCTACGTGAGCGGGCGAGTACAGGGAGCTCAGTGTTGTGCCTATGCGGAGCACACACTGGGGAACTGTCACTTTATAATGCTGCTGTCACCTCTGTCACTGTTACTTGGGTAAAAGCAGAGATGCACAACAGAGAGAGCACGGGAAAGCATCAGGGGATCTCAGCTCCAATTCCAGCTCTGCAGTTATTTGCTGGGGCAGCTGGGTGTGGTGGCGCACACTCTAATTCACAGGACTGAAGGAGGAGGCTGAGGCAGGAGGGCTGCATGTTTAAGCTCAGCCTGGGCAAATAGGGACTCAGTGAGACCTTGTCTCAAAAAAGGGTTAGGGTGGCTGAATCCCATGGGCACATGTGACATGGTGCCCTGAAGGTCCCCTGTTCTGGCCTTGGGGATCACCATGTTATTTAGCATATCAAAGCCCTGAGAAGTCCTGCAGGGACCTAGTTCAGGCTGTTTACTACTAATAGGACATCTTAATCATCCTACTGACTCTAAGAGCAGAGCAATTTCCCGCAGAAGGAGCTAAAGCCCAGGGGGCTTAAATAATTCCCCAAGGCATTACAGCTGGTAAACAGCAAAATTTTGCACCCACTGTCTGAGTCCAGACCCCTGCTCTGTCTGAGCCTCTGCTGGCTACGACCTCCAACTCGTGCACAGGGCGTGGCTGCGGCGACACCCCGTGGAACACAGCGGGGTGCACTCAGGTCAGAGGCATTCTAGGGGCCCTCCCAGCTTTACAGTGCAGACAGCACCACCGGCCGGGGCGCACTCCTTTGTCTGCTCTATCGGTCAACCTGATGGGTCCACTCCTGAGTGGGCTCGGACTCAGGGGTCGGGGGTCCTGCTGGCACCAGGTTGGGGAGGGACTGGCAGGAGCATGACCTCGTGCCCTTGGTGAATCCCTGTGGGATGCCCCTGCCTGACCTCCGTCCCCTGGCACTGCCATGCTGAGTTGGGTGGGCAAGAGGAGGTCTGGAGACATGGGCTGCGGTGGGCGGGGGCCTGGGTGAAGGGGCCGAGGAGAGGCGCTGACAGTGTCCTCTGGGTTTGGCATCAGCTGCCTCTGCTAATGGCCCCTCTGCCAGCCTAAGCTGCCCCTGGGTCTCCAGCTCCTGCCCCTCAAGACCGTCCTGCCAGCCGCGGCGTCCTCCATGAAGATGGTACTGACGGGAAAGGCAGCGGGCGGCTGTGGCAGTGTCTCTGAGCCCTACCCTCGGACACAAGGGGCAGGGGTTAAGCCACTCTGGTCCATCACCACCACCCCCACAAAGCCCCACACGCTGGGGGACAGCGGGTCCAGGGCAAAAGGCAGAGTCTTGCATTTGGGAGGACTGCCACGGGTGTCCTACTCTGCATGCGACAGTGAATGTGCCCTCTTGTAGCAATGCCAGTGTTACTTGATGGAAACTGTACAGGCAAAAGCCCAGCTGCCGTGTGTGTGTGTGTGTGTGTGTGTGTGTGTGTGTGTGTGGTGCACATACTAGGGGTGATGGCAGTCCTGCCCATGTGGCCTCCTGTTGTGTCCCCCACCCCAAGCCCTGCCCCAGCTGTCCTTCCCAGATCACCACCCGGAAAGTTGGGGTCTCCAGAACTACTTCTGAAATCACAGTTTCCTGCAGTGTCTTTTGCTGCACTGGGGATTGAATCCAGAGTCATGCACTGAGCTATGTCCCCAGCCCTCTTTTATTTTGAGACAAGGTCTCACTAAGTTGTCTAGGCTTGGCTCAAACTTAGGATTCTCCTGTTTCAGCCTCCCAAGGAGCTACAGAGCAAAGCCGCTGACCTCACAGCAGCCAGGAAGCAGAGAGAGTTGGAAAGAGCCAGCGAGTGAGGAAGGGGCTGGGGACAGGCTCTGACTCCGGGGTCACACCCCCGTGACTACTTCCTGGGGCTCTGCCTTCTCACAGCTCACGCAGCATGAACGGATTGGTCCCCTGATGACGTCAGTGTCCTCATGATCACACTGCCCCCCGTGAGACTGTGGGGGCACATTTGAGGTCACCTCCTGAGGCGCCTCAGCTGTAACTACTCATGTTGTTGATAGACACCGGCGGGACACCCTTTGGGCCAGGCTTGATAACAGATGAAGCCCTTGTAGGGTCCCACAAGCAGCAGACATCACTGCCACGCCAAGGCGGTACAGCAGGGGCGGCAGGGCGCTTTCTAGGCGAGGGACAGCAAGGCATCAGCCTCTGTAGGAGCCACACGGCTTCTCCAAGGAGCGACTGTGGAAGCTGAGTGTGCGCCCAGGAGGTGGACCAGCTCAGCCCAAGGGTGGAGGCCTGGCCAGCTGGCAGTGGCCTCCGGTCTGGTGAGCCGGACTCCAGAGACAGGAGCCAAGGCCTGAGCAGCACTTGGAAAAGCCCACAGCGGGCCTGGCTGAGATGCTTCGCCGTTCTCAGGCGCAGCGGGCCTCCTGCGAGAGCCCTCGGGAGAACAGGGATGAGGGCTGCTTCCTCCTAGGCTGGCAATGCCCTTCCAGGGTCTGCCAGGGAGATGGAGCTGCTCTACTAACCAGGCTTTGTCGATGACAAGAGCGCTGAAGAGACAAGAACAAGCGGGCTTCCTGTGCCTCAGTCTCCCCCACCAGCCACACTCCTGGGCCAGCCACTCTCAGAAGGGCCGCAAGAGCAAGGTCACCCTCCCCCAGGGTCAGCCAGTGATGGGCTGAGAAAAACCCCACCGGACATGGATTTCAGGACGAGGATCCCCACCGTGTAACAGCCTGTTTGGAATCTGGCAAGTGGGGACAAAAGGGTACGAGCCTGAGAGGCGAGGGGGCAGGAGACCCCGCATCCCTCAGTGCTGACCTCTACACGGGCTCAGGCTTCCTGCCCCATCCTTGTGCACCCAGCCCCTCATCCCTGACAGCAAATGTGCCATGGGCAGAAGAACAGATAAACCAGCTTTGAAAGCAGCGGAAAAGTCACCAGGAAACGAGGCCCCCTATAAATGTCCTAACGGGCAGGGTGAGCTGGTTGTTCTCACATCCTCCCTCTCACACACTCCTCCCACCAGGATAACTTATTTTATCCCCAGGAAAAACTGCAGGTATGTGTGCTACCCATAGGGACAGGGGACATGGAGTCACGTGTGAAACCGTTAGTCTGAAAGTCTCCGACTTGTTGGGAAGTATTAAATAGTAACCACACAACCACGCTGCCCATTAACCACCACGCTGCCCATAAAGTAAAGAAATGCCTTTGTAACCCTTTTTGATAGACACCTGGCCTCAAGTACCACATGAAGCAAGTGCCCGGCTGGAGCCTGGTAAATCTTCCATGATGCTGATCCAATCAACTCCATATATATTTACAATTATCCTTGATATTTACGCTGAGAAACCAGAATTAGGGGAGGGACTACTTGATAGCTGAGGGCAGGCTGTGCACAGTCCGGGGATGTCCACTGCGTGGCCAGACTTCCCACACACACATGCAAGCAGCCTCACAGCTTTGGGCGCACTTGACCCCCCATGCACCCTAGACTGAGTCAGTACTGCCTCGCTGTACTAGGCCTAAGCAGAGCTGGACATGCAGGGGACAGCAAATGAGGGGTCCAGAAGCTCTGGGACGTGTACCCCCAAGGATGGGGACGGACAAGGCAAGCGGGCACGGAAGGAGGCACAGGGCACGGGCGGTGAAGCTGGCCGATCAATGATCATTCCTCTCACTGATCACTGTGAGGTTAGTAGGTTTCTCCAAAGAGCCGGGCGTGGTGGCGCACCCCTGTAATCCCGGCACTTGGGAGGCTGAGGCAGGAGGACTGTTGCGAGTTCGAGACCAGCCTGGGCTACAAAGTGAGCTCAAGGCCAGCCTGAACTGCATAGTGAGACCCTGTCTCAAAAAAAAGAAAAAAAAAAAAAAAGAAAAAATACCATGCCAGTAGGTTTCTCCAACAATCAGACCACAGAGCTCAGCCTTTTAGTTCAGCAGAATTAAAGGTCAGTCTGCACAGCCCACCCCACCTCCACATATTCTCAGAGTAAATTCCTGCCTGTGAGAGAGTGAGCCAGCGGACGGTAAAGCGGCCAGGCACTGCGCAGCTCCCATCTGTGCTAATCATGTCAGGAGGCCCCTCTGCCTGCGGACCACACAGAGACAGCTCCCCCAGCCACCAGCAATGCTCTGCAGCCCCAGAGCCTCCGGGAGTCCTGGTCAAAGCCTGATCCCCGGAGATAAGATGCTATCAGCTTCCTCCTGCCACTGATCCTGGAGCCCAAGTGCAGATGCCCTGGGCTCCCCAGACCTGGGAGGCCGGGGCTGATTGCAGCTATAAATCCCAGATGGAAAAGGCCTTCCTCAGGCCTTTGTCCTCTCCTGCATTAGCTCTGCTCACCTGTTTAACTTCTTGGGCAAGGAATAAAGAGAAATCAAAGCTTAGGCAGCAGCCATCGATTTAACTACAAACGGTAAATGTCCTTTAAAGAGAAAAATGATACTGATCTGAAGAAGAGGGGCTGCCAGCTCAGGGGAAGGCTTTGCCAGGCACCACCGGGAGTAATTCACCCTCGGCTTGCTGGCGGCAAGTGGGAGCGCCTGGCCTCCTCGGGGCTGGCGGCTGTCAGTCAATGAGTTTAGCAGGTCGGTTTAAGTATTTTTATTGCTAAGCACAATGATTCAGAATTATAAAATACTAGAGTATAGGGGCTGGGGATTTAACTCAGTGGCACAGCGCCTGCCTGGCAAGAGCAAGGTCGTGAGTTTGATTCCCAGTACCGGAAACCAATGCCCCCCCCCAAAAAAAATTAGAGTATAAAGGGACCTGAAGAGGTAACAGATGTATGTAAGGGCAAAGCATTGCAGGGATACGGAGTCTCCCACTTAGCCCCCAAAGACCATCATCTGTAACCCCCCTTTCCAGATGAGGAAACCAGGTTCTGTCAGGCAAAGGTACCCACTCAGGGCCCAGCTAGGAAGCGTGGCCCTGGCATTCGACTCCAACTCTTCTCATTCTAACACCCACACTGTGACACACGCGATGCCACGCCACCCCCCGAGAGTCTCCAGGCATACTGCTGTGTTTCACCAGGAAGCTCTATGACAGCCAGTGGCAGGCAGGAATGATGTACAACTACTGCTTTTCTACTCATTTGTTTATCTCTATCTGCCCTGGTACTTTTTATTTGCACGCATTCATTCTTTCATTTTTTTGGTGATGGGGATTGAGTCCAGGCTCGGAGCTCTGCCACCAAAACACCTCCAGCTCTTTATTTGCTTTTAATGAAGCCTTTTTATTGTTTATTTAATACAAATGTTTGTGCCTTGTAATAACAGCCCAAAGGCCTTGCAAAATGGTTCCTCTGAAACTGTACTGGGGTCCTGACATACGTCAGTTCCCTCCAGCCCCTGGCCACCCTCTGCATAGGGACTATTCCCCTCCACATGCTACAGATGTAAAAACTGAGGCTCCAGGAGGTTAAGTAACTTGCCCAAGTTCATGAAGCAGGTTAGGGTTTGAACCCAGGCAGTATGGCCAGCCTGAGGCCATGGGCCAAGGACACTGACCTACAGCCTTGCAAGCTCATGACAGAGTGCCCAGGTGCCCCTCAAAGCAAAAGCACACCCGGGCTCTGGTTCATGACAGTGCTGTCACTCCTATGCCTGTTCTTGAGAGACAGACAGAGACAGAGACAGAGAGAGCATGAGCAGAGGAGGGTCATTTGCATCTATGAATATGCATATATGAACATTTGCATCTATCAAGACTTATGTGAATAAATGAATGTGTATTCCAGATGCTGCTCAACTCCGAACTGACTCCAACAGCCCAAAAGGAATTCAAGGAAATAGTTCTACATCCAGCAAAACACCATACAAAAATCCCTTCAATAGGAGGCCTTAATTTAGCTCCCAAGCTCCTAGAAGTGACTTAAAATGGCATTTTGCAAACATGGACAGATTCCGAAAGCAGCAGAGCTTCGGCTGGGAACTAAGGCTCTGTGTCCCAGAGGGTGGCCCAGCCACAGGATGACGCCTCCCCAAGGGACACTTACTTGAGCCCTAATGGCCAGGACACTGCCCTCCAAAGGGTATTACGCAGACAGGCAGACTTCGGGCAGCTGCGTCCCTCAGCCCCAGACACACTTACCCGGCAGTACTCGTCGATGGGCTTCAGCCTCTTCACAGCTACGTCCCGGATGTGGCTTCTCCGGAAGAGGATCTTGCCTGGAAGAGAGATTCTCATGAGCTGGGCGAGTCTGGCTAAAGCTCCCCTCATTCTCCCTCCCCTCGACTTCAGCATCTCAGCTGGCTACTGCCCGCTACTACCTCTGTCCACTGTCAAAAACAACAAAACAAAACAAAAAAACAAAAACCAGGAGAGGAACAGTCACCTCTACTGGGGGGCAGGAGGCGCCCAAGGTGGAGGGCCCAAGGCTTCTCTCTGGAGGCTGCCATCTTGGACTTCTATGAACAGCTTGGCCAAGTCACCTTGTCTGGGTCTACAGGCAGGATCGATGCCCGACGTGGGCGTGGCTCTTAAGTGACCTCACACTTACAGTGCGGCCCAACCCACATGCCCTGTTTTGTTTGCAAGCCCATCCTTCCTTGAGAAATCAGCATTCATTTGTGCCAGCTGGGCAGGAATTCCTATTCTTAGTTTAGGTGGGTGGCTATTTCCAGGGCGGCACAAGCCCAGTCCAAGGGATGATGGCTGCCCCAGTCTGACTGTTCCCTGGTGTCACCCTGTGTGTACAGCTGCCAGCTAGCTGGTACATCTCTCTACAGACATGGGCAAGCCTTACAGGAAATGCCAGCCCCTCAGACCTTTTCAGCAGGCTCACTGCACTGGTCACATTCAGTCATGATAAATATATCAATACACAGTCTTTTCACTCTGTTAAATATAGAACCTAAACTCGTTGGTTTGATGTTCAAGGCCTTACACAACTGACACTCCTGTGTCCAGTGGCCATTCATGTCCGGGGACAACACTCCCTTTCAGAAGCCTTTCCTTGGGCACTGGTTGAGCTGGGACTGATTTTCCTTTTTCCAGAACATTCACAGCACGGCATCCATTCTGTGAGCCCTCACTGTATTTTGCGGACCCATAGGACCCATGGAGCCCGACATGTGAGGAAGGTCAGCCAGAGCTGTAACACGCACCTGTGGTTCCAGTCCACCCGCTAGAAAGGCTTCCTACATTCTTAATTCTCACGGTCCTAATCACACCCCCTGCAACAAGGTTAAGCAAGCACACAGCTCAAGCAGCCAGAGCCACAGTTATTGGCTGGGGATGTGCAGAGGACCTCATCCTGGCCAATGAGGGTCAGTAATGAGGCCTCTGGTTGCTAACGGCCCAATGAAAGCCTGGCGCCTCTAGTGGCCAACCTTATTACTGCCTGACAAGGAAGAATGAGAAAAAGGAGTTGTGCTTAGTGCAAGGTAAGTGTTCAATAAAGGCTTCTTGAATGACGTAACAGCCAACCACGAAAGGGCTGGGGGCAGATACCCTTGACATCTTTTCAGAAGCTGGATAGAGATATTCCTGAACCCCAGGTCATCCTGGTACTTTTCATTTGCGAAAAATAAAACAATTCTCTCATTTGTTTAAACTGGTTGGAGAAGCTGTTGCATCATTTGCTCTAAAGGGGTCCTTGTTAAGACCAGCTCCACTGTACGTGTGTAAATGTGCAGAACGCATGTCACTCCACTCGGGCTGCTTCTGCCGCGGTCCAGTGAGGTATAAGCAAGGCCGCTGGCTTGAGGTCTATCTTCCGCCAGAAGCAGCCCCAGAAACGAGGGTTTGTGTGCAGCCCTGCTTTCTGCAGGGCTTCCAGAGAGCGTGCTTAGGGGAGAGGGAGACGGAGGCAGGGCAGGGAAGGGGCAGTTACCAAGGCAGGTACTCTGGGGGCAGCTGGAGCTCGGCCCTGCCGGGGACTCGAGGAGAGGAAGCAGAGTGCACCTGAGGGGAGTGATTACTGAGGCTGGGGGCCGCCACGTTCATCCGCCCATGTCCTGCTTGGCCCCGGGGGCTGCCCCCAGAGCACCGCCTCTGGCACTTCCGGCCATGGGAGCTCCTGTGAGCAGCCGTTGGCAGGCACACAGGAATGGACAGGAGCTGGGCCGGGGCACAAGGGCAGCTGCCGTGACCTCCCCAGCACCACAGTGCAGGCCACCAGCCCGCCTGGGTCAGACCGTGGAAACCTAAGGACCTCCCGCCATGGGCAACGAGCTCCCACTTCCGCCCACGGCCTGCAATTCACTCCTCCTGGCTGCCCCACACTCCACGCGGCACAGCATGGCACACAGCAGATGCCGGCCACCCCCTGTCCTCCAGAGTCTCCTCCCTGGGCTCTCCCTGTCAGAGAGCCGGCCTCCCCGCTACGGACAGAGTACACTGTGCAGACCACAGGCGTCACCAAGGCAGAGCTCTAACAGGCACCCCTGGGAAAGGAGATAAAAGGTGATTTATCGGGACACTGCAGGCAGCTGCCTTGCCGGGGGAGGCTGTCACAGATTTGGAATTCCTTGCTTCTTTGCCTCCTACCCTTTTTTGGATGCCTGTCGCTTTCCTGCCTGCACACCACGGGAGCAAGTGTGTGTGGGGCCATGCGGACGCTGTGTCAAAACAAACCTTGGCGCGAGAAGACCCTCCTCAGGCCCGGCAAGGGGCTGGGGTCTGGGCCTTCCACTGGAGCCAGCTGTCTGCCAGGAGCTGGTGGGCCTAGACCCAGCGCCACCACCAGTTAAGAGGTCTCCAGCCAGAGCTTGAAGGATTGACTGAGGAACAGGGGGCCCCGAGGGAGGGCCACCAACCTGAGGGGGCAGAGGTCACAAGGGAAGGAGGGAGATGGACAGACAAACCGATCCCTCCTACCCACAAGGCTGGCCTTGTATCCTGGGGATGTAGATATCACTCCCGCTTCAGCGGCAGAGATGGAACTAGGTAAGAAAAATTAGCAAAGAGAACACTGGAGACCTCCGTGAGGTGCAGAAGTTCAGAGAAGAGAGGGATAGGCGAGGTGGGGGGTGGGGGCTCCCCGGCTCCTCACCACACCGGCCCTGAGCATGGGCACCATGGGTCCCTCGCACCCCCTGCTGCAAGTGGCCCTGGTGTGGCAGCTTCCAGTCCCCTCCACGAGGCCGGGGACCTGCTGCTGAGGTGCAGGCCAATCCCCGTCTGTCTTAACAGGGCCAGTGCTTTCTTTCTGGAGGTTCTGGAGTAGTCCGCCAGTGGGGGACAGGGAGGGGAGGCCTGGAAGGGACTCTGCAGCCTTGAGCTCTCTGTAAGGAATCTAAACCACATACAGAAAGCCACACTGGCGACTGTATTAAAAGGGAGACAGAAAAGAGGAGGTGGAAGAAAATCCTCATTATGAAAGCCGAGACCACAGGGCATTGAGGCCTCTCATAAATGTACTTCAGCCCCTTTATGGGGAGGGGTCGGCTTCTGCCAGAGGCTTCAAAGCCAGGTGGACGCTGCCCCAGTAATATGATAAGCAGGCAGATTATATGCAGGGCCAGACTGAGCTTATTCCCGGAAGCGGAGAAGAAAGCTGTAAGCCTGGCAGCATCTGGGCGACGAGTGGGGGTCCCTCTTTCTGCCACTCAAGCTGGGCTCAGAAGAAGCAGGGGCCGTAAGTGAGAGTGCTGGGTCCAAGTCCTGCTGGGCCACAGGAGGGCTGTGTGACCTCGTAGCTCATCTGTCCTCCACAGGGACCTCTGGTTCCCATCTGCATCCAGGCCCCATGCTGCTCCCTGAGGCCCTGAGATGCTTCCCTGTAGGTGTGGGCTTGGTGCCACACCAGGGCCACGGGGGCTTCGCCTGCAGCCGTGGTGCTGGATTTGGTAAGTGGGGGAGACAGAGCAGCAAAGTCCCTAGGCGAACCA